CTCTTGTTCTCTCTCAAAATAAATAAATAAACTTAAAAAAAAAATAAAGTGAACAATTAGTATTTTCACTATGTTGTGCAACCACCAACTTTATCCAGTTCCAAAACATTTCACCCCCCCCAGAAGAAAATTCTGTACCCATTAAGCAGTTCCTCCCTCTTTCCCCTCCCCACAGCCCTCTGGAAACCACCAATCTGCTTCCCATCTCTATGGATTCACCTATTCTGGATATTTCATATAAATGGAATCATATACCTTTTGTATTTGTCTTCTTTCAGTTAGCATAATATTTTCTTTTTTTTTTATTTTTGAGAGTGAGAAAGACAGAGTGTGAGCGGGGGAGGGGCAGAGAGAGAGGCAGACACAGAATCGGAAGCAGGCTCCAGGTTACGTGCTTTCGGCACAAAGCTGGATGCAGGGCTCAAACCCATGAACCATGAGATCATGCCCAGAGCCAAAGTCAGAAGCTTAACCAACTGAGCCACCCAGGCACACCTGCTTAGTGTAATGCTTTCAGGGTTCATCTATGTTGTAGCTTGTCTTAGAGCTTCATTCTTTTTCGTGGGTGAAGAATATTCCATTTTCTAGATGTACCACCTTTTGTTTATGCATCAGTTGATGGACATGTGGGTTGTCTCCACCCTTGGGCTGTTGTGAACTGCTGTGAATAGTGGTGTACAAGTCTCTCGAGTTCCTGTTCTCAATTATTTGGGGTTATAGACCTACAAGTGGAAATGCTGGGTTATGTGGTATTTCTGTGCCCGATTCTTTGAGGAAGTGCCAAACTGGTTTCCACAGAAGCTGCACCATTTTACATCCCTACCAGCAGTGCACAGGGCTCCAACTCTCCACATCCTCACCAATGCTTGCTCAAGTCCTCTTTAAATTATGTTTATGGCCAACCCAGTGGGTGTAAAGTGTTTCTTCGTAACTTTAAGGTTAGAAAACCCTTCAGTTATTTAAAAATACTTCAGGGGTGCCTGGGTGGCTCAGTTGGTGAAGCTTCCAACTTCGGCTCAGGTCATGATCTCGAGGTATGTGAGTTTGAGCCCCGCATCGGGCTCTGTGCTGATAGCCTGCAGCCTGCTTCAGAGTCTGTGTCTCCCTCTCTCTGTCCCTCCCCTGCTCACACTCTGTCTCTCTCTCTCTCTCTCTCAAAAATAAACATTAAAAAAATTAAAAAATAAAATAAAAATGCTGCAGAACAATACCGTAGAAATGGAATACAACACATTTGCAGGCTGTATCTAACACATGGACCCTATTTTATCTTATTTTTTAAAGTTTATATACTTATTTTTAGAGAGAGAGAGCACACAAGTGGGGAAGGGGCAGAGAGAGAGAGGAAGAGAGAGAGAATCCCAAGCACTGCACTGGTGGTACAGAGCCCATTAGAGGGCTTGAATTCATGAGCCACAAGATTATGACCTAAGCTGAAGTCAGACCCTTAACTGACTGAGCCATCCAGGCACCCCAATGGACCCTACTTGATAACGTCTGGTTTAAACAATCTGACACTTAGCTTTGGGAAATTACAAGGCTGCTTGACCTGCCTTGGCCATTGCTAGTAGCCAAATGACCTCTAATGGCTGATTACTCCTGCTACCCCCAGGTCTATACCAGTTGGGACATGGACCAGCTCCTGGCAGAAATCCAGAAGGCCCGGAGCCTCCTGAGCCACATCCAAGCCTTGCGCGACAGGACCCCCAATGAGGAGCTAACGGGCATGATGAAGGAGGTAGGTGGTGTAGGTGAAGATTTTGGAACTGGCCTCACTCCATTCTCCTTTCTCACCCGTCTCCCTGAGGGCATGGCTGCCAAGGCCCCCATGTGCTAAAGAAAAACGAGGTAAAGCCGTGCCCTCTGCTGTACATGACACCCCTGAGCCGGGTGGGCCTTCCACTGTGCTGGAAGGATCCTGATGGATTTATAGCTGAAAAATTGATTTCAGAGAAAGGCCAGCAGGCTCCTGCCACCCTTCCCATCTATCACTGTCCCCTCCCTTCACCCCAATTTGGAGAAGGACAGAAACCTCAGCCACACTGAGTGGGCCATCTTGAAGACAGTCTTTGGCACCCAGCACTTCATTCAGGGCAAACGTCCCTGCCTGGTGACTTCACTAATGTAACATCAGTAAAGTAACGCAGCCAGCTCATGGACGCAGCACCATAAAAGGTATGAGCTGCTGAGGGGCGCCTGGCTGCCTCAGTCAGAGGAGCGTGCGACTCTTGATCTCAGGGTTATGAGATCGGGCCCCATGTTGGGTGTAGAGATTACTTAAATAAATAAAACTTAAAAAAAAAAAGCAATGAGCTGTTTAGACTGTGCAGAAACTTAACTGTGAACAGAAGGCACGGAGAATGCATTTATCGCTTCACCAAATGAACATGTGGCTGTGTCATAGAAGACATCTTGGCCTGGCTGGACACAATGGAAGAAACACAGCACCTAGAAACTGGAATCTTACATTTTAGCTCCAGCTTTTCTATTTAGTCTCTATAAATCATAACAGCTGTTTGTATTATAATTAGAATAACTCTCTCCAGAGTGCCCATTCTAAGATAGGCTGCATGCTTAACTCTTTAAATGTCTTATCTTATTTTAAAAACAACAGTCTGCTGCAGATGTATTATTGTCCCCATTTTACTGATGAGGAAACTGAACTTACAAGGCTAAATAATTTGCCTCAGACCCGAGAGATTAGAGACAGATCAAGTTTGAATTAAACCCAGGTCTGTCTGACACCACAACCTTTCCAGGAGTTTCCCAAAATGCAATACATGCATTACTTACGGTTTGCAAGGTACATGGTTTAATTTTTCTAATATGTATTTAAAACAAGCTCATTATTGTTGTAATACATCTTCTTTCTAAAATTATTTAGGTACAAAAAGGGAATTAATTTTTTAAATGAAATCCAATTAATAATTTAAAGGCTTTAATATTACCTATTTGATTTATTTCCTTCTTTAAAAAGATTTTTTAATGTTTATTTTATTTTTGAGAGAGAGAGAGAGAGCATGCACATGTGTGAGCTGGGGAGGGGCAGAGAGAGAGAGAGAGAGACAGAGGATCCAAAGTGGGCTCTGCACTGACAGCAGATGCGGGGTTTGAACCCACAGAACCATCACAGAACTGTGAGATCATAACCTGAGCCGAAGTCAGACACTTAACCAACTGAGCCACTCAGGCACCCAAAAGAGTTAGTTTTTAAAAATAATCTCTAGGGGCTCCTGGGTGGTTCAGTCGGTTAAGCATCCGACTTGGGCTCAGGTCATGATCTCACAGTTTGTGGGTTCAAGCCCTGTGTCGGGCTCTGTGCTAACAGCTCGGAGCCTGGAGCCTGCTTCTGATTCTGTGTCTTCCTCTCTCTGCCCCTCCCCTGTTCACGCTCATTAAAACAAACAAACAAACAAACAAATAAATAAATAAATAAATAAATTTAAAATAATCTCTCCACCCAGTGTAGGGCTCCAACTCACAACTCCAACATCAAGAGTCACATGCTCTACTGACTAAGCCACCCAGGTGCCCCCATGGTTGATTTATTTTTTAAAAAATTCTAGAGGCGCCTGGCTACCTCAGTCAGTGGAGCTTGCCACTCTTGATCTCGGGGTTGTGAGTTTGAGCCCCACATTAGGTGTAGAAATTACTTTAAAATAAATTTTCTTTAAAAATTCTAAACAGGACAGTGGTACTCAGATACAGCAAAATTCATGAAGGCAGTGCTCAAGTGTCCAAAGTTTGGGAATTGCTGTTCTGTGTCTTATTTATACATGAGTTATGACTTAATATCTCAGAACCTCAGGTTTTCAGTTTGTAAATGTGGGTAAGGGGAAGCTAGGCTAGATCAGGGCTCCTGAAATGATCTGGTGTAGGAGTTACTTTTTACTTCTTCAAAGCCTTGTGTTAGGAACCCACAGAAGGGCCATCTGTCATCTTGAAGTCCAAGGTGCCGATCTTGATGGTAAGGGTGGGGAAGGGGCCAAGAGGATGGACAAATCAAAGAGAAAGCAAATTGCTGGGGACATCTTCTTACTCTGGAAATTCTAGCAATCTCCAGAGAAGGGGGTGGGGATGGTGGGAGGGGAAGGCAGAATTGCCTTAATTTGCCAGGTAATATTTTCAGATGCTCCATTTAGGGGAATGGGGTGGGTCGGGGAGACTAGGGATTCCAAGCTCTAAAATGTGATTTTGTAATGAGGGCTTTTAAATTTAATTTAGATTTCCACAGAGATTGCAAAAGGGCCACTCACAGGTCTCTTGCCTAAACCCCCAAAGCATGAGGGTCCCCTCACAATTGAGTTCCCAAACTTGGAGAAGACTTCTGCAGAATGGCTAAAGATCAATGGCCTAAAAGGTAAGTCCCCAATGAGGGCAGAATCCAGGACTCATGTGACTAACTAAAGTCATGAATCCTCTGGGGCTCCAAGGGTTGTATCTCACACCCCACTATTTATTTTTACAGCCAGAAAACTAAGCCTTTATCAGGTTCTGGCACCCAATGCATTCTCTCCCGTGGAGGAATTTGTGCCTATTCTCCAGAAAACAGTATCTTCATCTATCTATGAGGTAACTCAGAGTCAGAGTTCTCTCCAGTCTTCTGCAGGGGGGGCACTTTTGTGACATTTCCCTTCTTAAATGTTCAAGAAATAAGAGTAATAAGTCAGATCACAGGGAGTAGGGGTCTAAAGGTCTGGAGTTGGTTGTAAGCTTTCCACCCAGGACTGTAGAACTCTCATCAGATCTATCCCAACTGCTATTTTGCAAAGATTTGAAAAATGGACTTGGGAGATGGGATAAGAGGGAGCAAGTCAGGTACTATAGTTACCTCCTCCTTGAAGGTTTTCCTCTGTGCACTCAGAACACACTCACTTTCCTTGTATCCTCACTGTACCTGGTACAGCTTCTGCTCCAGCTCTTATGATGTGTTAATATGTGTACTTGTTATGTGTCTAAACCCCCAATGGCATATGAGCCTTTAAAAGAACAAACTCTTGAGGTGCGTGGGTGGCTCATTCAGCTGAGAGTCTGACTTCAGCTCAGGTCATGATCTCATGAGTTCGAGCCCCACATTGTGCTCTGTGCTGACAGCTCAGAGCCTGGAGCCTGCTTCAGATTCTGTGTCCCCCTCTCTCTCTGCCCCTCCCCCACTTGTGCTCTCTTTCTCTCTCTCAAAAATAAATAATAAAAAAAAAACATTAACCAAGAGAACAAACTCTGTTCTCCAACCCTGTATCCCCATTATCTAGTACAACTAAGCAGTCAATGAATATTTCCCAGATGGCTAACTGGGTGGAAGGAAGGATAGAAAAAAGAAATAAAAGAAGAATGAATGGATGGATAGAAAGAAATGGTGATGATGAATGAATAGATAAAAGGATGGATGGATGTTCGGTTGGTTGGTTGGTTGGTTGGTTGGTTGGTTGGATGAATGGATGGATGGGTGATGGGTGGATGGATGGATGGATGGATGGAAATGTAAACTTCCATATGGAACTATGGAAGGGGAAAAGTAGAAGGATGAATGACAGAATTAAAAAAGGTGAAAGGATTAAAGTACAATGAAAGGATGGAGAAATGGAAGGATGGAATAATAGGTAAAGAGAAACATCATTGAAAAGATGGAAGAATGAGAGGGAAGTGGGATAGATAATTGTAGCAATGGATTAATGAATGACCAGGTGGATGGATATCTTGGCAGAGGATGAAAAATTAGACAACTTGGCAGAGGACGAAAAATTAGATTTTCGAAGGGTCCATGAAGGTCTATCTGGGTTTCTAAGCCTATGAGCCCATGGCCAGTATGTTTCAAGGTCTCCAACGATCCTATTACAAAACTTCCAGCCATATCTTGTAATCAAGACCCTGCTGTTTGTAAGAGCCTCCCCAGAAGGGAGCCTGGCTAGCTGTCAGGCATGGTGCATTCAGGGACCACTGTCCTAAAGGACTTCTGTCACCAGCTCCAGGCATGGCAATGACTAGGGAGGCATAACCCACCCCCAGATGTGCTCAAAGCCCACTTCCCTCTTATGCATCTGATTTGGAGAGCCCAGCACCCAAATTAACTTACAGTCATTCCCCACATGTGCTCTGTTCACCTGCTGCCCATCCTGGCAACACCTGAATGCAGAAGGCAATGGTACAATTTGAATGGCATGATGGGACAGTGAAGAATGTTCATGTGGACCCGCCCTTCCTCTATGAGTACCAGGTTAGTAATGGGTCCAATAGGTCAGAGTATGTGGTATGAGAAGAGAGAATGTGAGGAAGGCACCATGGAATGTGGAGACCCAAAACCATTGGCTGAACTCCCTCTTATAAACAGAAACTGTTCTCTGCCTCCAGGCACTGCTGGAGCTTTCTACACTTGTTTCCCAGGGAGGAACCTGTCAAACAAAAGTCTCTAATCTTTTGGGGCAAGATCTACTTCCTCTCCCATCTGAGGCAATGAAATATTTGAACTTCCTGGTCTTGTGGCAGACTCATCAATGATTTAGTGGAATGTTTATACTGCCTGGATACCCATGACCTTGACACCTCATTCCCAGAAGCCAACCTTCCCCACACAGACCCTTTAACCAGCCATCCTTTGATCTGTCACTCACTCTGTGGCCTGTGGGTTTACAGAAACAGCTCAGCAGAGCTATGCGGATGTATGAGAGGCGGATCGAGTGGCTCTCCTTGGCCAGCAGAAGAATCTGGGGCACCGTCTGTGAAAAAAGGTACCTTCCCTCAAAGTAGTGTTCTTGTCCTTTGTGAGTCTGGTGTGTGACATACACACTCATCCAGCTCATGAATTCCCTGTTGGTAGCATCAGAAACCACCACTTAGATAAGGATCAACAACCACTCAGCAGAATCCTTGGAGGAAAAAGTCACCACTACCATCATCAATATCAATAATTGTGTATCATCGTTGTGTTTACTTAGGATTCTTTCAGTTAAAAAGCCACAGAAACTAAATGCAAATTGGCTTAAGCAAAACAGGGAAGTCTGGTTAAGGTAACTGAAAATTCTAAAATAGATTTGATTGCTGTCTTCAGGTATGGCTCCATCCAGGGGTTCACGTGTGTCAAGAATCTTTCTCTGTCTCTCGGCTCTACTTCCTTCCCTTTTGGCTTTGTTTTCAGGCAGGCTTTACCCATCCAGGTAGCAGGATAGCCACCTGAAACTCCTGACTTGCTTTCTACCAGTTTAGCACTCCCAGGCTTGGAGTAGGGGTCCATCGATGGGCTATTCAACTCTGGCCTGGGAGGTATGATGTTCTAATTGCCAAAAGTCAAATGCCCACCCTTCAAGCTTAGGGTGGTTCTGTTTCACCCAATTCAAATGGCCTGAAAGAGGCAGAGGAGTTTTCCAAAGGAAGATCAATATGCTGTCGTGACAGGAGGTAATAGATTCTGCACAGGGAGAAACAGGTGGCAACCATGATAGCCATCCTTACCTTTCCCTACCTTATTGGATGCATTCCCACTTACAAAGTACTATACTATTCAATCATTTAATTCTCAAAACTAACCTATGAGAAGTCTTATAAATAGTTCCTAGTTAAATATGTGAAGGATCAGAGAGGTTTTGTGACTTGCCTAAGTCACACAGGAAGTGGAACTCTGACTCTAAATCCAGAGGATTTGCTTCTGCTATCCATAATTGCTGTCTCAAAATGAGAGTAGAGGGTGGAGTTGGGAATTGATTTGAGGTCGTGAAAGAAGACCAGATGGGGCTAAGGATCTTAAAACAGAGAAAGGTCACAAAAAGATGCATTTATTTCCCCAGAGGCTCAGATACACCTAATTCCCCATCTAATTTGCTTACCTTGTTTCTGTTTCCCCTACGGAGACCCCAATCTAGAATAATATTGAATGCTAGGGCTTTAAAACAGGGAAATGCCTGCTTTCCAGGCATCCCCCGCCCCTTAAACCATCTACACCCTGATGTGACTTTACTCCATGATGGGAGCCCCTGGGAGAGAAGCTTCCACGATCCCCTTAGTCTACTGTTGTAAACCCACTCCTATTGACCTCACACCATGGAAAAGATTTTGGCCAGCTGTAAGTTTGGCATGTAGAATTCCCCTGGAAAAAACTTTAAATAGTAAAATGGAACAAAATAAACATTATCTGAGAGATTCGGTTCTCTTCTTAAAGCTTGTGTTTCTTTTTAGGGTGGTTATACTGCTGGATATCTCTGTGACCAATTCCATGTACATTATTCATATCCAGCACTCCCTGCGGCTTCTGCTGGAGGAGCAGTTGTCCAACAAGGACTGCTTCAACCTCATCGCGTAGGCTCCTAGGTCCCGGTGGGGGGCTGGGGGCAGGGGGTGCGGGTGCTCTGTGCCACTGCTGGGCTGAGGTTCCCGACAGGTGGCTGGATGACAGATGTTACCAGCACCCAGCATCCTAGGATGGCCATCAGCTTATCTGATTTGAATCATCTTGTTTGCGGTACTGAATAATTAAATGGTTGCAGGACAGTCCCACTGGGGCGAAGGTGTAAGTGGCCCCAAAACACACAGCTTGATCAGCCAAGATAAAGTAACTCAGCCCATTGCCCCATTTGGATTCTGAGCTGATAAACATGAAAGAGAAAAAGAAGGGCCCCGGGCATGCCCCAGTCTTGGTACATGTCTAGCAAGACCTAATATGCCAAACGTTTAGGATTCCAATCCCAAATGTTAATTATATAGACTTATATATATAACTATATATGTTTAAATTATGTGTAACTATATAATATATAATTCTATATATTTAAATGATATATATAAATAATTTGATATATACTTTAAAATATCAATATTATATATAAAATAGACATATTTTTAAACATATTTATTTATTTTAAGAGAGAGAAAGAGTAAGCAGGGGAGGGGCAGAGAGACAGAGAGAAGGAGAGAGGGAGAATTCCAAACAGACTCCATGCTGTCAGCACAGAGCTCAATGCAGGACTCGATCTCACAAACCATGACCTCAGGGCCACGACCTGAGCCAAGATCAAGAGTCAGATGCTTTAACCTACTAAGCCACCCAGGTGCCCTTAAAATATATATTTAAATTTTTTTTTTAAGTTTTTTTCATGTTTATTTACTTTTGAGAGAGACAGAGACAGAATGCAAGTGGGTTAGGGGCAGAGAGAGGGAGAAACCGAATCCGAAGCAGGCTCCAAGCTCTGAGCCATCAGCACAGAGCCCGATGTGGGGCTTGAACCCACAGAGCTGTGAGATCATGACCTGAGCCAAAGCCAGGTGCTCAACCTACTGAGCCACCCAGGCGCCCCGAAAAACATTTTTTTTTAACATTTGTTCAATTTTGAGAGACAGAGCATGAGCAAAGGAGGGGCAGAGAGAGAGGAAGACACAGAATCCGAAGCAGGCTCCAGGCTCTGAGCTGTCGGCCCAGAGCCCAGCTCAG